AAATGCACTAGCCTTGTTGCTTGTATAAAACAATGATTTAACTCCTATCCATAATTTTAAACAGCTAAAATGTATTGGGAGTCATGATGTGGTGGATGTGTGGCTTCAAAAATTATTTACTTGCCAAATATTAAGGGCTGTATTTCTTGACATCTAAACTACATACTAGAGAAGCCCATTAAAATTACTTTTTGCAGCAAGCTGGTAAAGAAAAAAGAAAAAAATCCATACACATCTTATTCTGGAATATTTCTTCAAAATAGCGAGCCATTCCCACAGAGGAATTTACAGGTATGAAACAAGCCATACACTAATTTGCTATACAGCATACTAATTACTGATATTAATGCTTGCCCGGACAGAAGTTGTTTAACTATTCCACCATCACATTTGTTAAAAATATAAAAGTAATATTTATTATTTGAAAAGGTGTTAATTTTTTCCTGTAGGCATGTGTCAGCTTAGACTGAGATATTTTAAATTTAATTTTGTATTGTAAAAAGTGTTCCGTTTTCAAAATTATTGTCAGCCTGGGTTGCCTATGGCAATAAAAGCTACAGATACACTGCAGTGATATTTGGGTTTAGGGCAAAGTGTAAGAGCCCTCCTAATAATCCACTTAATACATTCCAAGCACTGTTAATCTAGGAATTACCTTTGCCTTTAAGGGTATAGAGGATACTTTGAGTAGCACATCCCCTTTGCCAACACTGGAAGTCTAACAAGAAATGCTGAAGACCTTTTCTTTCAAACCTTCTTTGAAAGGACCTGAGATGGCTTTCAGCTTTCCTTTTGCTTTCATAGAAAGAAGCTAGGCTTAAATTTTCAAGTGAGACTAGTAATTTTTGGATACTCAGCTTCAGCTATTTTGAAGGATGTGATTTTTAAGAGGCTTAGCATCTAACTCATGAAAATCTTTTTTAAGACATTGAAACTAGACAATTTTGGAGGTACACAAAATCATGGGCCCCTTCTGAAAATTTAGCTCTGCTCCCCAGCCTTTACCTATCCTACTTGTTTCCCATTCCTTTTTATTCACTGTCCCCTATCAGATGACTTTCCAAATTCTCTCCCTGCCACCCAAAAGAGACATCCTCCAATGATATGGACTTAATGTAAAGTAGCCCTCTCCCTGCTTCATTTGCTTCTTTTCCCCCAGTCATACCTAATATTTAGTGCTGTTCAACATTTGCCTTCAAACTAATCTTGGCAGAAACCCCCCATTTTACAGAGAGCAAAACTGAGGCAGATAGTTTTGGCGAAGAGAGCACACGCAGCTCTCAAATCCAATGGCAACTGGAGTTGCTCAAAACTTCAAACTAGTTGTAATGCAGATCTACTGCATTGTCATGGCAGAGACGGATGTGGGAGGCAGCAAGTTAAAACCTCCTAGGACACTAAACCCACCACAGAAACAAAGGAAGAACACTGCAGTTGAGCTTTTTTGTCCTCATGCAGATATACACTAAAGTTGTGGGGTTTTTTATATACAACACCCAAGAATAGGCAGACCGAGATTGGCTTATCCTGGCTTAGCAACTCATGGTTCACCCCTGCGATTTTTAGCCTGAAGTATCACATTCTCTATAAGGCGCGTCGTCAACTCTGTCCCCATCATTAAACACACTGGTAAAAGCTCCAAGGTGCAGTAAGATCACTAACTTGTTAACTAGCTATAACTGCCTTTTCCATCTTAGCATTTTATAAAACATTATCTAATGGGTTTTAAAAATGCACCTTTTTCCTAGCGTACACATATAACAAGCTCATGTGGGTCCAACATACCGTCAGTAGACAGACTAGATCCTGTTCCCAGACCCATTGGAACAGAATGACCCCAGAAGTCAATAATGTGGTGATTCATCCGATAAGCTAAAAATTTTCATCCTACAAAATACCAAAGAGTAGACAAATTACACTGAAAATGCTGCACACAGGCTTTTTTCTTGAAAACTGTCAAATTTTGTGAGATGCCATAACCCTGGATTAACACATACATAAATCCCAAATTGCTGTTCTGTTGTTTTTCAAACTGATAAGGAGAAAAAATTAAAAAGAATCCTAAATATTTCAGTGGTCTTGGAATTAATGCAGTATTGCAACAGATGGTGAGTCAGCTGCCAAAAATTAGTATGAAACATAATATTTAATGCATAGTGGTTATTTTTCCCTAAAAAGATGCAAGCACATCCTTTTTTTTTTTGGCAGTGAAGACAAAGCCTATTGTGATAAAAATCAATCCCTTCCAAAACCAACAGTTTGGGTACAAGTAAGTGTAACTGCTGAAGAGAGGCAGTTGAGTCAACTACCTTCAATCACATCTTCAATTCTTTCCCCTTCAAGGAAGCGCTTGGATAAATGTATTTCTTCTTAAGAGACAAGAGTCACAGCAACCTGGAAGTCACACAGGTTCTACGTTTAGGAGCAGATACGGATCTAGCCAACACACCACAAAGAAATTCTGGCTAAACTGGGAAATGGGATGGAGAGCAAAGATAGACTGTTTTCGTCCCCAAAGTAAGGGAACGCACAGATGGGTCTACTTAGATCTGCAGTAACTACTGGCATGCACGGGTTTTGTTTTCCTTAGCTTATTCTCTTTCCTATTAAGAACCAGATTGTGTGCCGATTTACAAACCACCACAGTCAATTATGAGTTATCGAGGACCAATAAATTTAGAACAGTACTTCTGAGTTTTGCCAGAAACCAGGAAACTTTTTTCCTGGCCACACAGACAATGGGCAAAAGATAGTTGCCCTGGGACATTTTGTCAAGGAAAGACTAAAAAAAATCCTGGCTGCGGGCAGTATGACTGTAGCATACTATACAGTAGACTATTAATACACTGAGTACAATCAGTGACAGTCTGAAAAGTGAACATACCTCAGACAAATGGCAGGAATTGAGGACTGAAGCTCACCAACATTTTGTAAGAAAGTTAAAAGCATCAGTCACTTGATAAGTCTGTTATCGGAAGAAAAACACTTCAATGCTTACAGCGTGAGAGGAAAAGGGAAATACTGACTACTAAAATGGGGATAAAAAGAATTTACTGTCCATCTCATGCACACGTTACGCTTTTCACAATACACTTCATTTTCTCTTTCATTTTTACTCCTTACCAAGGGTCAAAGCTTTGTCTACACAGTAAAACTAACTCATTGCTGACAAATCGGTGCAGCCAAACGCAATTTCCTTTGTCTACACTTGTAACGAGAGACATCCCTTGCTCTAGTTCAGCTGCACCCCTTGTTGTCAACAACTGTCAACAGTGGTTCGATTTAGTGCACCAAGGAGAGCCCAAACAATTTGGAAAGAATGATTTAAGCTGAGTGGGTCCCACCCGGCTCCTCCAGAACACACACGCAGAACAGCCAATGCAAGAAAAACATTTAAAAATTATTAGGAAAACGAACAGTAAAAACCCACCAGATCTGGCAGAGGGATTGAAAGCATCTGAAGTTACTTAAGTGTTTTGACCAAAAAAAACCCAACTGACTTGTCAGTTGCCCGAGTTACAGAGTCACCCATTTCTCCTTCACTTTGTCAGAGAGGAGCCTGTGATAAAGTCAGTCAGTGACAATATCGATATCATCATTGTATTTATTTTACATGGAAAAAAAATCATAAGCCTTATGAACTGGAAGAAAACATCACCAACGTTCATTTGAAAGACAGTCTGCCACTTGCCCTATAGAAGGCAAATCCAACAACTGTAGATTGCACTGGTAGAGCCTACCATGACTTTAAATCATGTCGATATTCCCTCTCACACTTTAACAGCCAAAAGAATTACAATCTGCTTGGATTAATGCAGTATGCTGTCATTAGGCTGGCAATTAAAACCCCTTTCTGAGATTGTGTGATCTGAGTCACCAACATCTGCGAATATCTTTACATCTTGTGTAATAGCTGGCCTCAGATCTTGATACACCAAAGCAAAAAGGCCTTTTTAATGGCTCCCACATAATTTTGGACTTAAAACTTCACGATGACAGCAGCTTCTCAAAACAGTCCATGAATCAAGTTTATTATCCAGTTTGTCATGTGGGATTTTCTTAACTCTAAGCTAATATAGCAACAACGAATCAAGGTCATTGTTTATATTGCATGAATAAAAATTAACCACCTGTGCAAAAATTTGTCTTTTTACATTGACAGGTATTTCGTCTCACAGACTTTTGACATATGCAGCATTCACCAGTTCTTCTACACATCTGAGAATATGTGAGAAAACACTCTCAAACAGCATCTCCTCTCATGCCAATCTGTCTTGACTTTAAAAAAAAAAAAAAATTTGTCAGCCATCCTATTGCTTCCAACATCAGTAGTTACACACATGAGAAAGACAATCCAATTGCAGGATGCTTGGCCCAGGAATTAATTTCCTCCCCAGCAGTATCATTGAATATTTAAGTGGATCAGTGATGTTCAATTGATGGTTTACTGGTAAAAACAGCAGCACAGGAAGATCTTTTTTAGCAGCTATACGGATCAGAGAAGAGACAGCATGTTACGGGCTTTGAAAACAGTCTAGCTCTACAAATCCATTGAAGAAAAAAAGAAATACTACCTTCTCCAACCATAGAAGATGTTATGATAACCATTTCTTTCCTTAAATTAGAGCTTAACCATGATGCATAATAAAACGGTAAGCATACAGATCTAAATAAGGACTATTACCTTTAAAAATTCCAGTCATCTTTTACTTCTTCAATAGTTACTTGCAGTACTTGCCATACCAGAGGAACACCCACTGTTTACAACCAGGAATCATAGAGCATAATCAATAAACACATCACCTAACGGTAACCACAAAGCCAGGAAACTTTGCTTGAAGTGCACACTCACAAAGTTTCTGTAGAGGGTTTACTTTGAAGGGGACTGCTGCAAGTGACCCAAGGCCATCTACAGCAAGCACCTGCATTCACAGTGCAAGACGGCCATGTCGATGCCCCAAGCCCTTCCCCACCAGAAGCAGGCACGCCACGAGCAGTACCTCCTTGATCCGCTTCACAAGTGCGTTCTGATCAAAGGCAACCGCTTCTGCACACTGGTGAAGATGATCTTGGTACCGGAGACACAGCTGCAGCACCTGCTGGGGGTCCAGCTTTTCCAGTTTGGCGTTGGTTGGAGAGGTCTGCCCACTGAGGAGTCCTAAAAGGCAAGGGAAGGACCAGAGTTAATCTGACTGTTCATATAACTAGTTCAGCTGCAAGCTGAGAGGCAGCAGAACAAACCCAGAAGAAAAGCCTTATAAGGGGTAATTAAAAACTAATTCAGGATCTTAGACTACTGAATGGACTTTAGCAATGTAATAGTCCAGTGAAGGCTAGAAGTGGGAAGGGCATGGATTGAAGATTTATGGATGTTTAGGATTTATAGCAGTGCAAAGAACAGTTTGCCATACAGCTTAGCCCTCCTCGACAGAACTTAAACACAGGCTCTAACTGCAGGTCCATAATGCACATCAGCTTGGTTTTCAGCGATACGCTGCTTAAAGTGAGTCCTGTTTCTTCTCCTCCACCCACAATCCTGAACTCTGAAAAATGAACCCCCTTCCTCATTTATGTACACCAGAAGGGGAAGGAGTTGACATCTGCATTCCCCTACAGGCATGGGATTCAAACTATTTTCTGGTTTTGACAGTGTTATTCTAGTGAGCTCTAAAAATCGTAACAAATTCACAGGTCCCCTAAAGCAAAACTGAGTTAAAGTATGACCCACCTAAGTAAAATTTTTAGGGGTGAAATGTCTGTGTTTTGCCTATCTTGCCTTTCTTAAAGCTTCAGAACCCTTTCACCTTCTAAGATTTTTCTTTACAATATCAAAGACTAGGAACATACTTACGATTTTTTTTTTTTTAAATATGGAATTAAGATCCTTACCTACTCTCATGACTGATCAGGTTTTACAAAAAGATCACCAAAAAAGGTATTAGATTTAAAACTGGGACACTAGTAAAATCCAGAGGAGCAAAATTGTCCAGAGAAATTTCTCCTGCCCATTGTCTGTTGCCTACATAGCGCAACTTGAGAACCTTCGCTGAGCACAAGCCTACATGTGCCACACTGACCGCTTTCCCCAAAGCTGCTGAAAAAAATGATGGTAAACTTCAAGGCCATCCTTTTTTTGCTATTTCATTTACTTACTTTCATTTCATTTTCCTTCAGCATTAGCACAGCTTTTTTCTTGTTGGGACACCATCTGTGACAAACAGCACATACACACAATCTGCTTTTCCCAAAACATCCGTCAAGCTATGTAAACTGAATTCAGTGACTGCACACATGTGCCCTCTGGGGCTCTCGGTTTACAGACAGGAAAAGACATTAAAACAGCAAATGTAAGCAAGTATCACACTAAGCAATTAAAAAAAGTAATAAATGCAAGTTATTTGGATTGGAAAAGTTCTTCTAAGAATGTACCTCAGTGGGACATGGAAACTATTTTGGATGGCCCCCATGCCTATTGGAAGCTACAAATTGTGACATAGAGCTCTTGCCAAAACACAAGAACAAGACAGAAACCAAGACGTAAGTCAGAAGTATCTTATGAATTTGAGAACGTTAAACCTCTTTGAAAACATTTGCAGACAGAAATGAAAACAAAACTAGCACAGCAACTTCATCAGATACGATGAAGTAGGTTTACTTTTCATCAACACTCAACATCTTATTCTCTCAGGATGCTCTCAATTACCCTTCACAGAAAAACTTTTCTTTCCTCATCTTAAGAGGAAAAAAAAAAGATAATTTTGTTTTACTGACTTGTTGCCCACTACAGTTGCACTGCCTGCGTCAAGAGGTCAGGAAAGGAAATAGACACTTAACCATTTAGTGTCAAAACCCCATATTAGCAACAGTCAAATTATTTTTTATGTTTTAGAAAGAATCATCTCAAACAAAATCTTAGGTCCAGCAATATCAATTGCAAATCTTTCAAGACTACTTTCAGCTGAAGTGCAAAACTTTAACGGGAGCAAACTCACTGAAGGAAATAAGACTTTTTAAAAATGTATACATTACATGTTCTAGTGCTTCCTCAGTTTGTTAATTCTGATCTTCTATAAAATTATCTTGTCAGGATAAGTGTTCAAATAATGTTGTCAACTTTTAATGTGTTGAATGTTCACATAGGAAAGAAGAGTTCACCGTATACCTGAGGCGGTTATCCTGTTTCTGCACTGATCAAATATATGATGCTATCAACCAACTAATTTTCTTTTATTACTAATCTCTCACCAACTTCAAGAGGAGGAAGAAAATTAGACTCTATTTAAGAGATTTAATTAACATGAAGTGTGTACTTTGGCCAACTTATGCTGCTTATGAGAATTTTGAAGCTGAATAGGCCAAGGACTGTAAAGTGAGCTATAAAGAAACATGCTACTCACTTACATTAGGTACTTACAACCTTGTACAGGTTACATAATGCAAAAAGCAAAATTAATAAACTATAAGGAGCCTCTAATTCAGTATCCAGAAAAACACAAGCTCAAGTGAAGGGAGACGTTAACTGTTCAGCTGGAATTCCTTCATAAGAAGACAGAGATGTACCATCCAGTACAAATGTTTGGAGTAGCGATAAAAAACAAACAGCATATGCCGCTTAAAGATAGACTATGGTATTATTTTGGGTGATACAGTAGGGAGAAGCCAAAGGAATTAGCATCTCCAAAGACTTCTGGGCTCATGCTGACAATGCCAGAGAACAATTTAGCTTAGAGTTTCAACTTGCAAGAAAGGAAAAGGTAGAGTAAACAACAGCATGAAAAAAGCCATGCAGCCTTCCACCTGGCAGAAATTCCCATTGTCAAAAAGTTGATCCACCATTTTTTATTGTTCACAGTAACTACTTACTACCCACACTATAAATATTAACATTTTCTTAACATTAACATCCCCCTCTATTCCACTCTTGTGAGACCCCACCTGGAGTACTGCGTCCAGCTCTGGGGTCCCCAGCACAAGTAGGACATGGACCTGTTAGAGCAGGTCCAGAGGAGGGCCACAAAAATGGTCAGAGGGCTGGAACATCTCTCCTATGAAGAAAGGGAGAGAGAGTTGGGGTTGTTCAGCCTGGGGAAGAGTCCAGGGAGACCTCATTGTGGCCCTTCAATACTTAAAGGGGGCTTGTAAAAGACAGACAGAGACTTTTTACCAAGGCCTGTAAGTGACAGGACGAGGGGCAATGGTTTTAAATTGAAAGAGGGTAAGTTTAGATTGGACATAAGGAAGACATTTTTTGCAATGAGGGTGGTGAGGCACTGGAACAGGTTGTCCAGCGAAGTTGTGGATGCCCCATCATTGGAACTGTTCAAGGTCAGGTTGGATGGGGCTTTGAGCAACCTGGTCTAGTGAAGATGTCTC